CCCCTCAGCGGCGCTGCCATCCCCCTCAGCGGCACTGCTGACCCTGGCAACCACGGGGGAGGTCGACGGAGCAGGGCCAGCTTGCTCACTCCTTCTGAAGCCGGGACCTGCCGTGCCTTCGTACCAAATTGCCCTCTACAATTAGAATCATAGAATCAACTAGGTTCGAAAAGACCTCTGAAATAATCGAAAACAGCCAATGACCGAACTTACTGTGTGAACTAGATGTGGGCACTATACGTCCAGTCTTTCCTTCAACACCCCCAGGTATGGTGACACCACCACCACCCCACCACCCCGCCCCGGGCAGTTCATTTCAGTATCTAATCACCCTTTTTGTGAAGAAATTCCTTCTAATTCCAACCTAAACCTGACCTGCACAGCTCAAGATTGTCCTCTTGTCCTGTCACTGGTTGCCTGGGAGAAGAGGGAGAATCCCACCTGCTTACAGCTTCCTTTCAGGTAGTTGTAGGAAGTGATAAGGTCTCCCCTCAGCCATCTTTTTTCCAGCCCATACAATCCCAGCTCCCTCAGCCACTCCTCAAAGGACTTGTGCTCCAGATCTTCACCATTTCTAGAGCCCGAGCCACATGCCCCTTTTCAGAGAGGTAATTTGCTTGCCAATTCCTAAGTTATGATATCTGTACACATTTCTTGTAGCCTCCATAAAAAAGAGCAGGTATGAACCTTGCTTCTGTTACTCGGCAGTTGGGGCTCCTATCAAAGGAAGGCARGATAGTGGCAGATACTCCTTAAACAATAATTACATGTGTCTGTGTGTGTCTCACAGAGGCTCCTCTGGGTAACTGATACCACTTGTATAAAAATGAGTAGCTATGCTGAGCTTTAAACTGCTGTTGATAATGAAACACTACTAAAAGCAATGACAGGACTTCAGCAACCAAAGCATGATWTTCTATTCACCTGAAACAGGGAAGAGCCACTAACCTGGTAGAGGCAACAAAGCCTGCTGCAAGGCCTTCATGGATCACCTTATCATCAGAGTGTTTCTGCTGCAGCCCATCCACAAAAGTTCCAGAGGGGCAAGGGGAGTAGCAGAGTGGGGGTGGATGGGAAAAACTAATGGGAAACTTTGCACCACTTCCCTGCATCCCCACTGTTTTTCTTAGTTTTCCTCTTGGCCATATGCCTGAGCCCAGGCAAAAGGATGTGTAGTGAGTGCATGGTAATTAAGTAGCTGTAGCACTGTTTCTCTTTGGTGGTCTTAAAATGCAATGAAACATCTTCAACTTGACAGAACCATCCTTTTGATCAACTTGCTTTATGATTGCTCCTGCCCATTGATTAGTCTTTAGAAGTGGTCCAAGGGAACAGCAGACTAGAACAGAGAATTGAACCTCTGCAGCACTTGTCCTGTTAAACTTAAAATGGGAYAGGTGAGAAAGAATGACTCCAGCTGCAGGCATCATTCCTCATTTTGACCAGCAAGTGCTTCTTTCAGGACATGTAAATAAAGCCTTTATAGTACGATAAAGCTGATGGGCAAAGCAGCTGTGAGGAGCTATGAAGGGCACTTTTGTCTAGACAATTTAATGAGTATATGGTAACTGAAGAGATGTTTTTAAGTCCTCCAGATTGAAAGCTGAAGTAAAAAAGGAGCTAAGGGATCTCTGCAAATGGAGGTGACACATACTAGTATGAAGAAGTGGAGGGTAAAGTATTCAAACTCTATCTAAGTCCATTCTATGAGCTTGGCTAGTTGCTTATTCCACTCCAATTCTTCAAGCATTCAGTATGATCTCAAGAAAAATATTCCAGCAAGTCACTTTAACAGGCAAAAAATTTCTTGACTGGAACCATCATCACAAGCTGACAACAGAGCACTTTCCTATCCATTTGCAATCAGAATGTCCTGTACGCTGCAAAGGACATTTTGAGTATTTGCCTCTTCTTTGTTCCTAAAACTAACTGCATTCTTGTTTTGTTGGAAGGTCTGTAGTTGAATTTTTCATTTCAAGAYATCCATTTGCCTTAAACAGAAGACAAAGTCCTTGGTTGCATAGTGAAAAGTTTATTTAAATGGTTCCAATATATTATTACAAATCAATCACAACACATCAAATATAAACAATACAAACCAAGTGTAGAAGGAATGCAAGTACACTATAAATATAGCCTTCATATATGTGTCCTTCAAAAAGAGTCCAGTGCCACATTTTGTTAAAATATCCTCTTCTCCATTTAAAACTCACCTCTTGGGAGCACATGAAAAGCAAACAGTTGGCGCTGAGAACTCACTTTTGAAATCACAGGACATCAAAAATATTCACATCACATAGATAAGGACTGACAGACAACCATCATAGTTCACAAGAACATAGGTCTGAAAAAGGTATGACACGATGCTCTCAATCGAAAGCCTGTGCTAATGCTTGGAGCTGTGAGTGGAAAGCAGCCTGCTTCCCTCTGAAGAGAGGAGAGCAGTCATCAGGGCATCCTGGAGGTTGCAGGGAGACCATCTCCAGCTATTTAGAATTTCCAAACACAGCTCCTAAATGTCAAGGTCATTACTTGGCAAGGCCTCCTTAGCTCTGAGCTTTGTGGCTGGCATCCTGCTTCTTGCCCAAGGGATTTGACTCACCAGTCCAGACAGGTTTAAAACAGCTAACCCTCACTGATGGATCAGAAAATTCTTCCTGTCTCCCTTCCCAATAAAGGCTACATTTAATGTATGATGATTCTGAGAAAGCAACATGTAAAATCCAGACTAGAACCTAGAAAAGCCAAGGGGACTCAGATCTGCCATCCACCTGGCCTGATACACCTTCAGCTGCAACAGCACCACAGTTTCAGAATAAGTAGCCAGAGAATTTCTTSAGACAAATGTGGAATATCCCCACAAAAAACTCTCCTCCTTGCAATATACATTTGAACTCTGCTGGTTTATGYACCTTCTGAAATTTTGTTTAGTTGGTATTTACTGCAAATCAACTTATTTAAATAAATGCCTTAGCACTTTGACTCCTGCTAAACTCCTGGCTTCTTTCACRGTCTAATTAGCAATGTATTTAACACAATCAGTTCCCAGTTTTTCCTTCTGCCAGTTGTAAAGTTCTCATTCATCTACATGACATTATCACATCCAACATTCTCCCAGTTATGAGAAAAGGAGAAACAGTCTTTTCTTTCACACTTGTAGAAATAAAAACAATCCAAACAAAAAAAAAAAAAAGTTGTTGATTTGGTCTCTCATCCAGCCTCAATATGCATAAGTRCACACCACTCACAACTCTGGATTTCGACACTTTTTTAAGAGAAATTTATGAATGGCTGTAAGAAACACTCTTCTATGTCTATCTAGTGTTCCTCTGGTCCTTGGGTTTAAGTGTCAGCATATCAAAAGGAGTAGTCCTCTGGTGTTTGYAGATATCTGACAGCAGCATATAAAGGCAAAGAACATACGGCACCAGGAAACTCAAATACTGTTGGTAGTAATGTTACAGCAACAAGGTGGTCTATGAACAGATTATATATCCAAGAACAGCGTATATGGGCTCTCCCTGCCTGACCTTAGCAAGTACCATCCCCTACTCAAATGGGCAGAGAAGTAAGAAGAATCTCCTGTATTAATGACACCTATGGTTCTTATTAAAAACATGCTCTTTGTTCCTAAGGCACCTCGTGAYAAATCCTCTGCAGAGTGGCTTTAGTAGGGGTAGTGAGACAAGAAGAAAGAGTAAAAGCATTGGGGATGAAAATGAACTCATTTAGGGATTCATTTTCTACCCTAATTCCCCACAAGCACGACAAAATCTTTCAGCAACTAGACCTGTAACAAGGTTTACCTCAAACCCACCTCACCAGGTCCAGCACCACAATAACTGACTCAGTGCAGGCCATAGATAGATGGAGGTTACATGCACACACAGGTGCARGGAGACAATCTGACAGGGTACAGCCACAAAGAAAGGCATGTGGCTGCCTTCTAGACTCGGTGCATAGTAACTTGACTTTCTCAGCACCCAAAGTTAGGCAGCTAAGCTCTTCCTCTTGATGCATTCTCATCTTACCTGTTCATGCATTAAGTGGGTCCCAAGCATTAATTTGCTACGAAGCTGTGTCTGACACCAGTAACCTTTCCTGATTACGTGTATTACAGGCCTCCAGAGAGTCTGAGTGAAAGTAATGCGTACCAGTGGTCCTTGATTTAAACAATTTTAACTCTCTGTCCTCAGTAAGACACATACATTTTAAACTCCTGCTGCTACATTACACCTATGTAAAAAAAAACAAAAACAGAGAAGACAATGGAGAGCTTATTACCTTCCCTGACATAAAAAATGTCAAACAGATTAGTATCATTATAATAACTAAACACTTATACAAGGCAATTTTTATACAAGTCTTTGCTATAGGATTGTCATACATCTCTGACCGAATGTGTACATTTCATTTAGATCTAAATAATATTCAAAACAAAATGGAAAACAATTTTTCACAAAAGCAAACCCAAAATGCAAAGAAGCTTCTTCCTCGATTTAGCTTTCTGAATTTCTAGACACAATTTAGAGAGAAAAGAAACACATAATAAAATCTATTTGAAACCTTCCTTCGACAGAAACAAAGAAGAAATTTTCCTTTCCTGAGGATTTAATTTCCCTCTCTGAAGTGCAACTGCATTTTAAATACATTTTTCTTTCTTGACCCAAGGTCTAATTCCAAAGATCTCTATTTAAATAAGAAGGGTTCCATAACTGCCCAAGCCAGCTAGCAGGATTGAATACAAATCCAGGATATAAACTACACTGAAAAAAAGATACATGCAAAATAAGACTATTTCTTTGAAACAACTATGGGTTTGATAGTGAATGGGAATGGCTGCTGTTAACCACTAACCACACAGCCAAGCTCTTTGATTTATCAAAAAATTAATAAAGACTGTGTATCCTTCCAAAAAGAAGTTGTCACTTGGATAATGAATGCTATTTGAATACCTGAGAAACAATATACTTGTATAAGGTGAGAATTAAAGAAAATAAACAAAAAGAGGAATTATCCTGTACAACTGTGAAGCTTTCCTGCAGATGAAATATTCCTAAAATTATCTTGTGTTCATAAGAGATACCAGATATTTCTGGGAAACTTAAGCAGTAAAACAACACACACCAAATGCTTGGTGTGACATAGACAGTGGGCCTGTCTATGGTTATGCTGCATTTGCAGACTGGGCACATACTCATTGGGATGACATTCCACATTCTTTTGGGTTTAAGTCAATGAGACCGGGTAGATGGCCACAGTTCCAAAAGAGTGACCCAAGCCTTATTAAAAGTTRGTCCACACTTCAGAAAGCAAGAACTGAACACTAGGTTTGCCATCTACAGTGCAACTTATCTTAACAAAATCCATTAACTAAGAAAACTGCCACATACTATTCATGTGTCAGCAAGTGATCAGAATTGATTCTAAGGCAGGCCTTATTAACTTTTTAAAACATGGCAAAATATATTTCAAACCTTATTATGAGCACCAGACAGAAGGGGGAAGTAGCTGCAAGCTRGCAACAGGGAGGCCACTGTATAGAGGTTTTAGTGGAGATAACCCRCTAGCCTGCAACAAGCTGTGCAGCTGAGGATCAGTAATTCTGGAATATCTCGTGCCCATACAGGTCAGAGTTCCCTTCAACATAAATAAATCCTAATTAGAAAGTGGAGTAGGTGCCGAATAGTGCATCACACATTAACCACCACATACACACAAGGTTCTGCAAATCTCACAGCAAAGGACCAATCACTCAGTGAGGCAATGCTGACATTGTGGTCAGACTGAGAAGTCTATTCCATCTTCTGTTTAGTGCCTAGGGTTTGGTTATCAGCTTTACAAGGAATTATTTTACTATATTGGTATGAATATGAATTTTGTAAAATATAATGAAAGTGTTAGTGTATTTAGAGTGTTTCTAGAGGTTTCAGTAATTCAGATTTTATTAGCAATGACAATTTCAATAAACTTTTAATGAAATGCTTATTTTACAAAACAGCCCATGAAAAAAAATCTCATTTTCTTAAAACCAGTTATTTAAACACTCCTCTCAGTCTAGAGGCCTAAAGAGCTTGGGTCTTTTTGAGAATTTTTGACATTTTTRTCTGAATGTGAATTATTGCACTTCCTCAGATTTTCCTGCTTCACATCAGCTTTTACAGTGTGTATTGSATGGACAGAGACCGTAATTCTTAAGGCTCCAGATCCTTTTTCCTCCTTCTCATAAGACCCACTGTAGGACCCAGTGGAAAAGAAGCATAGTCCCATCTTCTGACAATTTGGCACTGTTAATTCCAGGAGTGACCTTATTTTCAGAGACTGGCTTGTGTTGTTAAAACATTTCCTAAATAACCTTGCCGTTTTCCTGTCATTGGCACCTTTACTTTCTATCTTATCTGTTTGAATAAAATTATTAGCCTGATCCTCTACTGTAAGATTTCACCTGATGCAGTCTGTTAAGTAATGGAATTAGTGAAACTTGTGACAATTTGGAGTTCACAGATTGACTTAAGCTTGTACCCACTTTTACAAAAACATTTCCATGACAAGCACTGAGTGATGAACAAAAGTATTTTTTCCAAATTAACAACACAAGAGATAATATAAGGAACAACCCAACGAGACCTCCAAGAAAATGTAACTGCTATTTTTTATTTCCTCTAACAGTCCTGCAGAGCTTCACCACTGAGTTTCAGGTCTTCATCAAGTCTTCCCAGAGCCTATGGAACAGACTGAAGAACCCTGGCAGTATTGAGCACACATATATGTGGCTAATCTTATTGCTCTGGGACATGACCAAYTGCTGTATTTTATGTGCAGCCTTTCTTCTGGCATTGGCCCATGGTGTTTTGTGTGTGATCATAAATAATTTTTAAGGTATTTTCCAGTAACTCGGTAAAAAAGGTTCATGGAATCATAGAGTATGATGAGGTGGAAGGGACCCATCATGTATTGAGTCCAGCTCCTGGCCCTGCACAGGACACCCCAAGAATCACACCATGTGCCTGAGAGTGTTATCTTAACACTCCTTGAACTCCGTCAGGTTTGGGGCTGTGACCACTTCCCTGAGGAGCCTGTTTCAGTGCCCAGCCACCCTCTGGGTGAAGAACCTTTTCCTGATATCCAACCTAAACCTCCCCTGACTCAGCTTCATGCCATTTCCTCAAGTCCTGTCACTGGTCATAAGATTCACGAGATCAGTACCTGCCCCTCCACTTCCCCTCACAAGGAAGTTGTAACTGCAATGAGGGTTCCCCTCAGTCTCTTCTTCTCCAGGCTGAACAGACCAAATGACCTCAGCCACTCCTCACACAGCTTTCCCTCCAGGCCCTTCACCCTTCTCATGGCCCTCATTTGGACGCTCTCTAATGGCTYCATAGCTTTACATTATGGCACCCAAAAGTGCTGACRATATTTAAGGTGAGGCTGCCCCAGGTCAGAGCAGAGTGGGACAATCCCCTCCCCGGCCCGGCTGGTGATGCTGTGTCTGCTGCACCCTGGGACAGGGTTGGCCCTCCTGGCTGCTGTGGCACTGCTGACTTACATTCAGCTTGCCATCAACCAGGACCCACAGCTCCCTTTATGCAGCACTGTTCTCCAGCCTCTCATTCCCCAGTCTATACACAACACACCAACTATCAAATGTTGTTAAATTGCTGTTTTATAGCAGCAAACATACTACTGCTTCTCTGTTAGAAGTGTGTGTCTCCATCAGCAATATAGACTGTAGACTGACTACTCCCCCTCTTACCACCTTGACTTCCTAAGTGCACTGGGGAAGTGAATCAGTAAGCAGAGATACTTAAAAGTAAAAACTTTAATATATGGAGCAAATTGCACAGCATTACAATATTCCCTTAACAGGAAATATGCAGCCCTCCTATGAGAGCAAAATCTTTGGCTTTAACTACCCCAAATAATTTTGTCCATTATTTCCTCTCAAGAGAAGGAATGGACCAASTAGAGGTGCTTTACCTGGACAATTAAAAAATAAAACTCAGAACTTTTCTAGTATCACCATGGAAAGTAATTTTGTGTCTCTGCAAAGAGGTATCAAAGTGTAAATACAGCAGTATTCTTAGAAAAGAGAATGATTTCAAGTTAAAAGTATTAAAATAAACAACAGTTACAAATAAACATGTTTTAAAATTCATCTCGGATGGATTAACTTCTCCTTGTTTAACTCAGCCACTACTTAAGCAGAAGACTTTAACTAATACCATCACTAGTCACCAAAATATGCCAAGGARCTTTGTAACAACACCTTTGCAACAGCCACAGCAGCTGACAAACTACATTTCTCTGGGAGCCTTTTCCTTGCTACATATGGTTGCAATACCAGTGAACCAACATGCTACYACTAAGAAGCATTTCCTGTATATTTATTGGTTGTATTCCAACCATTTTGTATTCATTCAGCATAGCAGTAAGTAATGTCTTCTGCTTCAGATCTGGATTACAGAAAAAACTTTTGCTAATCACTGAAGTTTTAATCATCTACATATACCTACAATCAAGATGTAATATCCAATTCTGTAGGAAAGCCTTCTATGGACTATGAGGTGTGCATCCTATGCTCCCAGCCCCAGTTCAAACATGAGCTGTGACTGCCATTTGGGGCTCACCTGTTGTAGCACTGCCACGCCCCTGCAGCACGGACTGCTGGTGACTGCAGTGATGGTAGGTGATGGGGTTACCCCGGCTAAGTGACAAGCCAGCTGTGCTTCTGGATCACTGCAGCTGACAGCTGCCCTCTAGTGATGCAGAGGCAGCAGGAGAGTTGGAAAAGTTATTCACAAAATAGTAACAGATTATTTTCACTTCATTTTGTACCAGCACAATAGATCAGAATCACAACCAGCTGAGCATGACTTCTGAGCAATTGCCAGCTGTGACACGAAGGCCATGCCCAGTGCCTGCATGGAGCAGACCTCCCAAAGTTTTACAGAAAAAGCAGCTGCCTGGGAACAACCAGGCAGTCACAACTACCTTTCTCCCCATGGACAGTGGGGAAGAAGGGGTGAGGAGAAACCAGTTCATGTCCAAAGAAGAGCTGGYAGAATTGTGCCTTGGTTGTGTCACACAGCAGTGCCCATCGGGCGGTACCAGGGCAGGGTGGCAGCCTGCTACGCTCACCATYACCTGCCTGCCATCCCTGCCCCTTCCCTCTTCTTCAGCTAGTGTAATAGACATGAAAGAACAAAGTCTTATTACGGAGCAGAGAGTACGAGTTATCAAATTTCAGCAGGTAGATGCCCTCGCCCGGGTACTCATGGCTGCCCGCCTGTACCTCCCGATGGCTGTTCCTCCGATACACCGGCATGATCTCTCCATAGCGGCTCCGCAGGTAGCTTTTGGAGCCCCTTTCCACATCACCTACAGGGGACAGTCCTGAATGGGACAAAGGAGACAAGTAAGTAGGCCAGAACCAGTCAGACCCCTACATAATCCAGGAAAAGACCAGCAAGCCCAGAACACAACACAGACATGCAGCCATACGGAAGGCTAACTGTGATAGCGTTACCCAAAGTATCTCCTCTGACCTTTCTTCAAATAATTCACACAAAATGCAGTCTTCCTTAATGTGACAAACATCACACTGAGAACCAGTTTCCCTGGGAATACTGATGGCACAGTACTTACCAGCCTGCCAGCCCGGTCTCTTCTCCTTTTAGCTTACCTTTTAGACACCTCACTGCTTTTATACACACAACAGCAGTACTATGATACAGACTTGAAGCAAATGAGAGGCAGGAAAGCTCTTAGCTATTACCTCATTGTGTTTATGTCCTCATTTCATTTCTCCAAGAAGATTCCTCATACAGGAACCTATCCCTGTTTAGAGGGTCTGCAAACACCAACTCCCCAGCTACACTGGTCACACACGCTGAAGCCACAGAACAGGTAACATTGCTGTGTGTTTCCCAAATACAGTGACACAGGGAGCAAACATTTAAAATACAGTCAGAAGGAGCTACTCATGTACTGGGGAAAAAAGAAAAAAAAAAAAAACATTGCTGTGTGTTTCCCAAATACAGTGACACAGGGAGCAAACATTTAAAATACAGTCAGAAGGAGCTACTCATGTACTGGGGAAAAAAGAAAACAAGAAAAAAAACAACCAAGCAAAAAAACCCAACCCAAACCAAACAGAAAAAAAAAAAAACCCATAAAAACCAAATAAACAAACAACAAAATCAAAACACACAAACCAACAAAAAACAAAAAAAATCCTACACCACAAACCAAATCTTTTTGCCTCCACTCACCACCAGAAATTCCTCAGTCTAAAAGTCTAAGAAAAACAGCTAAGTTAAAATTTCAGACTTCAATCCTTTTATCAGCCAGAAGTAGATGAGTGAATTCTCATTTCATTTTTCAATGTGTTCAATTTTGAGAATGCTCTTGGAGAGGTCARGCACTGACTTATGCTGAAGCAGGAAGAACCAAATGCCTTTTTATCACTCTAACCAAGAACCCAAAAGGCTGCAGAGATAGCAAATGAACTGACTAAACAAAATAGATGGAAATTATAGCATCTGACAGACACTCTCAGCGACATGGCAACAAGCAACACAAATTAACCTTTATAAGATCTGCACTAACCTTCAATTTCCTCATCCTCCTCTTCATCCTCCTCATCACTGGATTCACTGACCTGAACAGTAATGGCAGTGCTAGTAACTGTGGTCCAGTCAAAATAGACTCCAAACCCAATGTCATAGTCATCCGTGGCAAACTCCCAGCAAATGCATTTCCCATCAGGATGAGTTGGCACACGGACTGTCACCACCTCGCCTCGCTTCACCACCATCCGGCCATTCTTCTCCTTTCCCATCTTGGCTTTGAATTCCTTCATCTTTTCAGTGGTCCACATAGTGGGTGCAGCCAGAGGGGGAGGTTGAGCTGAAAGAACACATCATAGGCTTACACGATTTTCCRCTGCTGACAAACTGTTATCTGAAARTAGTGAAGCTATTTTTCATAAGGACCCGGCATTGTGGGACCTCCTTCCAGAAGCCCCAGATTGAAATTTTTGCACTCACTAGCCAGGAGCCCAAATTTCCAGCAGGAGTTAGAAGGGTCTCGAGGACAGTCTCTCAGTCTCTGCTCTTCTAGCCAGGGCAGGCACTTAAAAAATGACCCGAACAAGAGTTTTGCCTTCATGACTCACCTTTCCTCTGCTCCCCAAGGAGGTCTGCAGTCTCCAGCTCAGCAGAAAGGATATCCACCGCACCAGTGTGATCTGACTGAATCATGACTATATCCCCTACTCCCTGAGGTACATGGTAGTTGGTTACTCGAACAACAGCTCCCTGCACAAAGCACATAAGAAATATTGTCACATTGAAATATTTCAACCATCCTGGTTAAAAAGTCACTGCCTGGATCGAAACAACTCATTAGTAATTCAGGCATCTTTATGAAACCAAAACAGACCTGTAGAAGCTTCTATTATTAGTGTAAAAGAACTGACTAGCTCTGAGACACCTCTCAGCATTGTTTCCCCACTGCACCAAAGTCATGAACTTTGAAGTGAAATGCTGCATTAGCGTCACAAACTACACTCCCCTTGGCCTTCCCAGAAGTCCCTGGGCAGGCACATTTTTTGCACCTGTATCAGAGTTAATTGTCATTCCTCAACAAAAAAACAGCCTTACAGATTTAGCTGACTTCATCTTCAGACATAAGAAAAATCCATCTACCTTTCTGAAGGACTGGATTTGGTCAGGCAGCTTCTCTTCTAGTTCAGCCACTTTTTGGTCCTCTGGAGTGCCAACTTCTTCCTTCGAATCCTCTGTTGTGCTCACACCCAGGTGCACCCCAGACTGTGACCTTTTGGAGGAAGAGAGCACTACAAATCAGCACATGCCCCCAGGGCACAGCCAGTAGAGGAATCACTGCTCTGGATCTCAAATCAAATGCACTGAAGGAAACAAGCTTCTGTGCTCAGCACCTGCCAGCTGGATAAAGAACCGCTGCCACCCCATGCATGACTATCTTCCATGTGAGCCAGAGGGACAAACTTCAGTGGGACACGCCATATTTACTGTCCTTTAGATGGCAGAAATTCACTGCATGCACCCACAGCATGCTGGCTCACCAACACTGTACTAAGGGCAGACATCAGTACCAACTTTCTGCCCAAGAAAGGACAACTTCTTTTATGCTGCTACTGCATGGCATCTGCATGCTCCATCAGAGAKCAGCTGGATCAATGAAAGAATTCAAAACAATTTTGACAGCCATCCTGAGAACATAATCTATTTAAATGGCCCGTYATGCCTTTCCTATTAGCAATCCCAACAGATACAGGGAGCATCCAGGTGTCTCTCTGCCGTATTCAAACACACTCCACAGATAAGCAAGCCACAAGACACAGAATGGGCAGCACAATAACTAAAGTGAAGAGGTCCAAGTACTGCACTGCAAAAAAAGAAAATGGACATGCTAAAACAAGAAGAAAGCTACATAGCATAAAAAGAATGGGCAAGAAAGGAAACATCTTTAGCATTTATTCTGCTGAGGATGTTCTTCTAAATCATATTGAAAAAAATTGCTGCATGTTGTCTACAGCTGGACTTATAATCCCAAATGAACTCAGAATGATGCYAGAAGAGTGTCCTCTGTAATGCTCTCATTACATATGTGAAACTTACATGAGAAGCAACCTAGTATTAAATAAGAATAGGAGGAGCTGCCCTTTTGAAAATCGAAAACTTGTCACAGCACTAGAAAACCAATGGCAACTGCCTTGCTCTAAAGGATTAGAAACATGAGAACACAGCATTAATGAAATATATATGCATTTCCTCAAATTTCTCYTTTCAGAAATGAGAAGAGTTCTCATTAGCAAGGAAGCAGACTACCAGCATAGTTTGGAATAATTAAATGAAATAAAATATAAACAGCTCAATTCAGACACATTCTGCATACACAGAGACTTGAACAGGGCAAACGTGGTTTTYATTTTCAAATCGTTACTTCTATGGCAGTACAGAATTACCCAAAAATGAAGTCATTTTTGACTCACATTCTCTCAATGGTGTGATTTTCTTTCCTAGCATTGGCATGATGGTCTCTAGGAACAAGTCAAATGAATTGAACAGCAGGTTCACAAAATGGCAGCAGATGGATAAGATAAGAAAGAACACTTGGTGGGAACAATTTTTTAAAGGAAGAATTCTTGGGCTTCTATGCTATCATTTTCCAGTCCATTTGCATTTTATATAAGCAGCTGCATGAACACACCTAGAAAGGCTATTTGGTCATTTTCTMCCATAGGTGCACCCTGCTCAAAAAGCTCTCCATTGACACAGGAGCTTACGGCTTGGGAATTCGTTCCTCCAGATACCACTGATACCCAAGAGTCTCACTGAAAGATTAGGAAGAGCTACACAAGCTTTACAAGCAGACTTACAAAGTTCAGCTGATTTCCTCCTCACTCAACTCTTTTGGACCACATCCATCCTTTTCAAAGGATATCTAAATTAAGACAAATTTAATAGGTAATGCCCACAAGTACTCATCATCTACTTTGGCCATTTTGCTTGTGGTCTGCATTAATCTCTTCAAATAAACTGGATAACATAACAAAAAGATGGAAGAACTCATTTACAGTCAAGAAGGCTGATACAGCTGTTAACAGCATCAAATCAAGATGGCATCAAACTAAGTAGGGCAGCTTGCTGTGGATTTTTCCTGGATTTTTTTCATCTTTTTGATGAAGTTTTGGTTTACCTACTGTAATTAACTTACACATTTCTGAAATTGCATCCTGTGTAACAAATGTATAATGGTAAATGAAACTTCACTGCATAGTATAAGTGCTTGTAACCCATGAAATTACTTGGCCACAAACACCACATGTCCAGCAGGTACCAACAAGCCAAACATCTGATAAGAGAGTTGATCAGCAGCATTAATGGAGTGGCTTAGAAAACAAACAATGAAGAAAAAAGCCAAAACATTGCAAAGAAAGTAGTAAAAGTTGTTTTCTTGTACAGTTTCCACGAGATTTACAGAAAGTGGGCATGCTCACTTATTAAAGTATTCTTCAGACAAGACACAAAAATTTTCCCACTGAAAAAATGTACTAGCTTTTATAATGGGTTACAAAACCTTGCAGGGTTCCTTTCAAGCTGAATAACTCTGTGATTTGAATAGCTAAGCCATGAACTACACTTTACCGACATTAAAACAACCTTAAAGCCTGTAAGAACAGGTGGTCCTGTACTGATTCCAGTATATTACTGTCCCAAAGCTGACAATTCAGTCTCCAGATTCYTCATTTTACCTGCACAGAACAAACTGCAAAACGGAGGAGGTCACAGGAATGAAACAGACTGTCATGCACGTGGGCCACAACACACAAAAAGTATTTTCCTACCTGCTCTGTGAAGTACTGGACTCCAAAAAATCAACTAGCTCATCTTCAGGCTCTGTCTTTTGGGCTGAGTCTTCATTTTCTAATAACAAACAGAATATACGAAGAGAAGGTGAAATAAATATTGGTGTTTACAATACACTGGCAGGAGGAAAAACTGCAGCCAGCACTCAAACGTTGACAAGGTCACGGCTGTAGAACAAAGAGCTGTGCCAACCAGTTTTTCATGTTATGAGCTGTATCTAGCATCTTGTGGAACCAAGATGTTTARTGGGCTCAACCCTAAGAAAGGGAGAACAAAAACCTCTGCGTGTTTTTGGTGTAAAGCCATTCTCAGAAGCAGGGTTCATTCAGGAATCACTAATCCTAGCTTCAGAAGGACAGAACAAGGCCGAATTTCATCATGTAATGCTGAGCTGACAAAGCCCTGGTAAARCAACCATACAGCAGTTCACAAAGGGCACTGACGAGATGGAAATTCCTAGGTCACTGCTAAAAGGACTGTCGATAAAGGGGCTCCTGGKCTTCCCCGAGTCTCCTGAACTCAGGTAAAGCTCCGTCCCCATCCARCTGCGGTACTCGCTCCGCAGCCCTGCTGTCCGATGGCATTAAGGCGGTGARCAGGGCACGGACAAGTTCCAGCTTCTGCAGGTGGCTGATGCCCCTCGGAGCCGCTGGCCGTTCCAAGAGCCAGGCCGGGACGGAGGCAGCTCCAACCCAGCGGCACGCAGCCCACGGCACAGTCCAGCTCCCGGCTACACGGGGCCTCTCTCAGCGGGGAAAGCACAAACCTCCATCAATCCTCGCTCTTCCCACTGCACCGGGAGGAACTCTTGCTGCAGCTCCAGGCGCCCGAGCGGCAGGTGAGCAGCTGAGTCGCGCAGAGACCACAGCCCGCCCGCCCGCTCCGCACAGCGAGCGGCACCGCACCGCCACCCAAGAGAGCTGCCGCCGCGGAAACGCGGCTTCTTCGGCAGAAACGAACAAACCCACCGCGTAAAGAAAACTCTCCCCGAAAGGCCATCCCTAAACACGCGCCCCGGGACTGCCCCTGCCCTGCCCTGCCCGTACCTGCGGGACCGCGGGGCGCGGCGCTGCCGCCCGGGGGCTCGGAGCGGGAGCGGGCGGCGGCGGAGAGCGCGTCCGACATGGACACGGCTCGGCGGGCGGCCGGAAACACCCGAGCGCGGCCGGAGCGGGGCGGCCGGAAACACCCGAGAGGGGGGTACGGAAACACCCGAGCGAGTGCGTGTGAGCCGGGCCGCAGGGAGATGGTGGCGCCTCGGTGCTCATCCCTCAGCCTCCCCCCTCGACAACGCAGCCAATCAACATCTAGTTCTGCGGAGCCGCGGGGCGCGGGCGGCGTTGTAGGCTGACAGCTGGGAGGGAGTGGCGGAAGGGAGAACGGGGCGCACCTTCAGGAAGTGATGGTTGCCAAGGCAACGGGGTCCCGGAAAGACGCGTTGCCGTGGTGGCCTGGGGATGGAGCCAATGGAGGGGCACCGGGATCCCGCGGGGCCGGGGGCGGATAAGGGGTCCTTTCTGACCTGGAGCGCCGACGAGGTGGCTGAGTGGGTGGTGCAGCTCGGCTTTCCCCAGTACGAGGTGCGGGGCTGCCGGTCCGGGCGGGAAACCCCCGCCCTCGGCGCCGCCTGGAGCGGTGGCCGTGAGCTCAGTGTGTGTGTTTGAGTGTGTGCGTGTGTGAGCGGCAGGGTGGGCGACAGTGGCAGAGGGCGACCCGCCATTCCTCTGCTTCCCTGCCCAGGAATGCTTCAGGGCCAACGGYGTCACCGGCCGCCGCCTCATCCTCGCCAACTGCTCCAACCTGCCCGCCATGGGTGTCACGGACTTCGGCCACATGCAGGTGCGCCCGGCTGTGGCTCCCTCCTCAGCCCCGCGGAGCCCCGCGCTGCCCCTGCCTGCTGGCACGCAGGCTGGGCTAGGGGCTGTCTGCCCGGGCAGAGACCGCATTCAAAGAGTGAGCCTGAAAGGCGACAACCCAATTTACTCAGTCACATTTTTAGAGTCTTTTCAGGTATAGCTGTCTCTGCAGATCTAGGGCTTCTCTGGGGCCCTATGCGTGCTTAGCCTTTCTTTAAGCCTATGTTGCCCCTCTGGCCCCATAAAATTGCTTAGCAAGATGCACACACTCTCAGAATTTCTTTTCAGTAATTTTCCACTTACTGATTTGTAGAACTTCTGAAAATCTAGTTAGATCTAACCTGCAGCAATTGAGCCACTGATCGCAAGCAGCAGCAGGAGCACTCGTTATTTCCTTGTTTTACGCTTTGCTGGACACAAACAGGAGCTCTGTATCATCCTTATTTTATGAACGTGTAATTGGTCTTTTTCCTTTCAAACCTACATATTTTCTTTGACAAACACTGATAGTTAAGGCTGAATTTCAGGGCTACAGTCTCACCTTCTAAAGCTTCCTAAGGGTTCAGAAAAAAAGAATTCGACTTAAATTTCATTACCGTTTTTCCCTTCCCTAGTAGAAACCACAGAAAGACTTGGAGCCACATTTACAGAGCCAAATCATCTGTTTTGCATCATAATTTGAAGTTGCCTTCCCGAGAAAATACAGGTAGAAGTTCAATCCAGGAAGAGAGAAGAAGCTTTATGCTCCAGTGACTGTGAAGCATATTAACTCTGTTTGTTTTATTCTACAGCAACAAAATGTAATTTCACCATCGTTCTGTCTGGTTGCACAATCTTACCTGTTTGTTTGAAACTAAATATGCCACCAAAAACATTGACTGGTACCATAACTTTGCCTGTTGTTTTGAGAGAAAGGCATTAATTTACACTTAGKTTTTCAGACAGCAGACCTTCAAGAAAATTTCTCATACAAGAAGACTGGGGACTCATTAGTCATTTGTGCTTTCCAAAAGTGGCAAGAATTTTATAGGCTTTGTAAGCCTCACTCTCATATTGGGATATAGGGATTATGTATGGTGTTAAGTAACTGCTAAGTAATACTAAGTCATGAGTTAGAGATATCAACTGTAACCYGTTCTTCCTCCTGTAGGAACTTAAATTCCTCAACATAAATGATAGACAGCCAGGATACTGCAGCAAGTTTGGAAATGAGACTGTCTTGGTAATGTTTTCCAAATCTTGCAAGTAAATTGGGAACATCTCACAGACTTCAGTGGAACCAAAATATTCTTGAAGGTCCTGCCGTATCCTGCTAGTTTTTTTTGTTTTTTTTAAGAACTTTGCTCTGATGRAATCCAAGCGTGCAGAGCTCTGCAGGATGTGACCCTTTGGGTCTTTCAGGAAGTGTTTTCTAGAGCAGGTGAAAAGTTAAAGCCACAATTTCCCAGCAAGAGATATATAAACGAAAGAGTGATAGCATCAGCTCAGTCAGACAGAAACTGCAGTTTAGGGGAAATTGCAGTTTGGTAGAGAACTACACAGCTAATTGTGTGGAAGCTATGCAGCATGGATAAGCAACATTGCTGCTGGTTTTAATCCCACTGTACTGGTATTTTMAATATCAAAACCACTCAAGATACCAGTCTGGTGTTCTTTTGTTATCACAAAAAGTAGGGTACTACTCTTCAGAGTCAAGCTAAAGCTGGGAGAAGGTTCTGAGCAAATACTGGGATAGTAAAAAAAAAAAAAGTAAAACCTTGCAAATTGTATTTTGACACTTCAGTCAAATTAGATGGTTAAATTCTCAGAAGTTACTTCACAAAAAATGGCAAAGCTCTGTTCACTGACAATTCCAGGTCCAGCTGGCTCAGACAGCCATACACTCACTTTCTAAATGAACAATGTGACTTTTTGCTTGTTATTTTTACACCTGTTGTTGGCATTATAATTTAAAGCAGCAATGATTTTGCATTCAGCAGAAGAGACGTCAGCTCATTCACCCATAACTTGGTTGTTCTTTAAGTGCARAGAGGAAAGCAGAGCCATATTAATGGCACTAAAAGACCAGATGTGATACCATCCCTGACAATAAATCTGGAGAGAAAGCGATCTGCACTGCCTGTACAGTGTCACATGGGGCTTATGGYTCAGATCCCCCTTGTGTTGCAACTTCAAGTGTGAAACTGTTCCAAAATTCAGAAGATCATTTCTTTTTCCTGCTGCTCTGACATGAAATGGATGGTTTTAGCTGTTGCCCTGTTGTCTTGGTTTGAAAAATGAGAATTTCTGGTGTTTTGTCTTGTATTTCAGGAAATTTCACGACATGTGCGAGAGTTGCTGGGGATTGAGGAGCCTCTCTTCAAAAGATCCATTGCCCTCCCATACAGAGACAATATGGGTCTCTTCCTAGAGAGAAAGGCACCATCAGGAAAGAAAGCAGATGCCCTCACTTTCTCGGAGTTTATCCAAGAAGCAGGACTGGAGCCCTATACTACAGTGCCTTCATTGTAAGGATCCCAGAACYGTGATGGGAGTGGATGCTCTCTATGCATCGCGGAAAGCACAGAAGCAGAATTAAAGACTCAGCTGCACTTTTCCCTTTGTAAGAAGCCCAGCAGCAACAGCAGATTGTACCCTTCTTAACTTGCAGATTGTTAAAGGAAGTAGAGTTCAATCTTTTCACAATTATAAGAAAGGCCTCTGCAGCTCTTAGACATTTTTTTGATTAGACCAAACCCATTCCCACATTGTCTTTTTTTTTTCAAGCCGTCATTTGCTTATAGAAACCATGTGAAGTGGAAGCTGTAGATCAGACTGTACTATTGTCTTTAACTTCTGCTTTACAGCTGATTAAAAAAGACCAGAAACCAGTCATAGACACATTTTAAACACAAGTGATTGATGATAACTTCCCAGATGCTCAAGTGAATAGATTTCTCCCAGGCTCCAGTGTCTGCAGACTGGGCTTCCTCTGAAGCCCAGATATAAGATAAATGGCATACACAACAACTGCTGTACAGGTGTGGTGACAGCTGCTGTCAGCAATCATAATTAAGCAAGGGGTCTAGTTGCAAGATGCATAACTAATCCCTGGCCTCACCACAGAAATTATTTCCTTAAATAAACCAGGCAGGCAGTGTTTTATCACGGTAAACAGTACTGAAACACATGATAGATGGTGGCAGGAAGTATAAAAGAATACAGAGCTAGAGAATTTAGGGAATAAAAATTGCATTGTCCTGGGTGGATTTGGACAGAATATCCACTTACCTAATTTTTCCTTGAGGGACATATCATGTTCTTTGGTGGTGAGGGTGGGATGCATTATCACCATCACAGAAGTAGAAATAAGTGCTGATGAAAGCCTGGCTCAACAGAAAGAGAGCTCCTGACTAAATCCTTAGGATGTTTCAGGATTCAATGGCTTTATTGAAATTCCCCATGAGTAACAAAAAAATACAACAAAAATTGTATTGAAATTCCCCATGAGTAATAAAAAAATACAACAAAAATTGTATTGAAATTCCCCATGAGTAATAAAAAAATACAACAAAAAACAGGGCCTGATACTGTTCAGTTTGTTGTACTGAAGCTGTAGCCAGTACAAAAAAAAACCCCTGTAATTTGGTTTTGTGATTCAGTTTTGTACTGAAGCTGCAATAGAAACACAGTGAAACTGAAGCAATTCATAGACCAAAAAGACTATGTAATAAGTAAATTCTGACAAAAAAAATAGGAAAGCTCAGGCAGCCAGGGATAAACAAGTTTGCTGAGCAGTCTAGAGTGAAACTCATGGAGGAAAATGTGTACACAGGATTATTGGCTGGAATAGTTTTAAGAGTAGGAGAGTGAACAGTGCTGGTTCTTACACTGCTCAGAGCCATGATGGGGCTGGGATGAGATCTCAGTAAAGCATTCCACATGGGCTTCATTATGATTTATGAGGATTCATACATGGCAGGAATTTCTGAGAAAATGTTGGAAGTGGCGGTGGAGAATGGAGACTTGTCATCCAATTATCACACGAGGCTCCACTACAGCCAAAGTGAGAGATGTCCTGGTGCTGACCCGCCCACATTATTCTGTAGGCCAGTCCTCGGAGGATGCCTGGTACAGTGGAGAACCAGGCATCAGATGGCACCAGACAGGCTCTTTCTTTTCTAGCAGCTGGCTAAAGAGAGACTTTTTCAGTGGCACAGACATCAGGTCAAGCCAGGGGAAGGTTCTGGGAAGGGAAAACAAGTGGAAACATTTGTGGGCAACAAGTCTAAAGCAGCTTGCTAATAATGTAACAAATAGCGGTTTTCTTCAGTGTCTGACTACAAGACCCTTTTTTGGATATTTGAGAAACAATCAGACTCAGAATGAATATAAAATGTTCCAGGCATCACTCTGCCAAGTGAAGTAAAACTGAGACTAATGGCCCTAGAATCGTCCTGCAAAAACAGGAATCCTTTCCCTTAAGCAATGTTCCCCTAACTTAATATCCTCAATAGTGTA